AGATCTACCGAATTTCTCAAATTCAGTTTAAAATTTTCGTCACGAGTCTCACACATTGTAGGTCAAAGAGTTAAAGTATTGACTTGAATGAAGCACTTGAATGCTTAACTAATGTCTGAAAAAGCTGAAAATAATTTATTCTTAGAATTTTTATATTACATAGCAGTCGTATTAAATGCTTAGTAGTTCTAGTGTTAGAACTCATACAAAACGAATTGTAATCAGCGAAAAATTCGAACGAAATCTATTTTGAATTTAGCCAAATATATGCTCTCAAACAATTAACCCTTTGCACTCGAAAGTTTTTCAATGGAAATATTCAACATTTTCCGACGAGATATAGGCGATACTTCGAAACTAATTTAAAGATAATTCATAGATAAACTAAGCAACGAAGGAGTTTTATTTCAATATTTTACGTAGTAGTGCAAAGTTCCATTTGAAATATTAAATATTCAACGTGAGTTTTGTTGTATCGAATCATGTGGTGACTGAAAGTGCATTAACATTAACCCATTTTCTAACCATCGATTAATCACAACAATCGACTCACCCTGTATACACAAATATTCAAACATCACGTTCTCCAAAGTTTGAATTCCAGGCCACGATACTCGCCGAACGTACAATAACATCGTAAAGAATCTTTACTTCGAAAAAACGCTGTCGTACCAATACGACCCGCTCGAAACGTTTCCACGAGCCTTCGTTCGTGCAAAGGGTGGCTCGTAAGACTCGTAGGATTGAATACAAATATTCCATTTGCAAAGATACAACGAATGTCCCCGATAAGATTGACAAATTCAGAGTTTATTCAAATGAGACACCGGTTCAAATCGATTATCATGTTGAACCGATGCGTTTACTCGAGGCGTGCGATGTTTATCGGTCCTCCGTTACGGGTATCTTTAAAATTCGTTGATCGTTCACCGGAGGCCGTTTAATTAGGGCGGTTCCGCGGTGTTTTCGGAGAAGCGGCGGCGGAACGAGAACGATTTCCAGTAATCGAAGCCTCCGGCCACCGTGAGATGGAATCTTTCGGCAGAAACCGGATGTACGTGTGTAATTGGGCCCCTGTGCACGCATTCGCGACCACATTCCATCTGTAATGCGCTCTGCACGCCCTGTCAGCGTCTGGTTTCGATGCCGGCCGCGGTAAAACGCGATCAGAAATTCTGGTCGGCCGTGAGGCCCGATTCGGCCCTGTTTTTCCGCTCTGTGCAACGTGGACAGCTTGATATTCGATTATGGCAATACTCCGGTGGTATTCGTTTGAAGGAAAATATATTTGGATAATTATTATTATTGTTGAGCTGTAATTTATCTTTTGGAAGCGTTGCTGAGACGAGCAATTGAATTTTCTTAGATTTAGGGACGAGAGATTGGAGAAACTTACGGGTTTGCTTGGATGATTTGTTACTAGTAATGTTTGTTTTATATTTATGTGAATGTTTGGAGGTTTGGGGGTTTGAAGTTTGAAGGTCAGAGTA